ACTTGGAAGCTTGGTATTGACAATGCAGCCATCAACAGGCACATAGAGATAAACAACATCTACACACTATTCAAAAGAGACAATGGAAAGGAAAACAAAAGACCAGAATATCTCCTTACCAGCAATCATCACCCAGATAAGCAGAGATTAATACCAGCATCTTAGACCAAGCTAAATCCAAAAATGCAAGGGAATACTTGGAAGCTTGGTATTGACAATGCAGCCATCAACAGGCACATAGAGATAAACAACATCTACACACTATTCAAAAGAGACAATGGAAAGGAAAACAAAAGACCAGAATATCTCCTTACCAGCAATCATCACCCAGATAAGCAGAGATTAATACCAAGATTACCACCAGACATACAAGCAGTAAACAAAAGCTTAATCAAGGAACTACCAGAGGAAAAAATAGAACAAAACTAAATGCACACCTCCAGCAACACTGGCAGGGCATGTCACTGTATATAAACAGAGAGCAAACTCCACTCCCTTCTAGCATTGAAGATGTTACTAGCCGGGTAATGAAATGTTTGCAAGAAAACAACCAAGCTGAGAGAACCTCAAGCACTCCATAATTAAGTAGTATCAGGCTCCATTTAAAAAGAAAAATGCTCATAATATATATATGTCTAGGTGCCAAGTATAGGCTTACTTAGCTTTCAACGCATGCTAACAGACATTATATTTGAGGCACAAAATGGATTTATCAAGAAATTAAGACATTTATTAGGGACAGGAAAGCCTCACTTATGTCTAAACTACTTCTTGAAGGAAAAGACAAAGGGGAAGGAGAGAGACATCAAGTTCCTTTGTTTTTTAAACACAAAAACTCATTTTATTAAAAACAGGCAAAGTGAGAGACAGACAGAGGTAAAACTCTTCATCTTCTCGGTCTTTTGTCATTTGCCCTAGTGGTCAAAAAGCTGATAGGTGCAAAGAGATGATGAATTTTCCAACAAAAATATTTGGCACTTTTGAGCATAGGAAAAAAAAGCGAGTAAGATAAAGAGGGTGTATGGGTTTTTTTTTCTTTCGTCATAAAGTTAGAAGCCACAATTATGTAGTGAACCTGAATGGTGGGACACAAAAGAATGTTCTTCATGCAACGCATACCTAACCCAACCACTGGCTGTTGCCACTGCTATTAACAAGGAAGGAGTCAAAAGGCAATGAGAAAAAAAGGTCGGGTGAGAAAATGTTCGTGTATTAGACAGCAGTTACTAGCAGTTACTCTTCTGTTTAGTATCAGAGGCAACGTGCCTCTCTGAATACCAGTTGCTGGGCAACATCACTGAAAGGATGCTATTAAGTGGTCATGTCCTGCTTGTCAGCGTTCCACTGGCACCGGGTTGCACACGGTGGGAACAGAATGCAAGATTTGATAAGGTTTGGGCCCAATCCATCCCAGCTTTTTTGAGTATTTCATAAATGTCTTGCCAGTGCTTGGCTCAGAGACTAGTCGAAAAGGCAGAATATTAGAAAGAATATGAATAATCTCAGGCAATTCACAACTGATTTAAATGTTATGCAATGAATGAGCTCTGCAAATTAATGCGAGGAAAGTTAGAAACAACTCTCAGATAATTGGGACAACTGGAAATTCTAACAAAATATTGCTTTATTGAAGCACTTCTTCTTGGATATTCCATTCCATTCCCTCACTGCAATTCCAATTAATTAGTATTCTAAGTCAATATCTTTGGGCTTTCTTTGATAGCTTTGCTTCTCACAAAGGGAATGACTCCATCGAGTCAAGCTTAACTCCTGGTGCCTTCACGGACATGCACGGCCCAAACCTGCTTAGCTTCCAAGCCCAGAAAAGGTTGGCCTGCTGAGATTCCCACCCACCATTTCACCAGAAAATATCCCAGAGGTTCCAACTACTTCACCCATTCACCCCTAGTGTCTTTATCTCTTTCCATAAACAGCATTATAAGTCCCTGTTCTTTACTACTGAGTTACTATTGGGCTGCTTGGAGGAGGTCCTTGGAGGGGTGGGGAGTGGATTGCACATTGCAATGGTTAACTTTCCTCCAACTGTGCACTGTGTGTCAGTGGTGCAGTTTTTGCTCTCCTCCGTCTTCTGCAATTGGGTGCCCTCCACAAATGTTCAGCCTGCCAGAATTCCCAGCTAGCATGTCCAACAGCTGGACTGGATAGGAGAATGTTAGGAACTATAAGGACACTATATTTGGAGGACATCAACTTGCAAAAGCTGCTTGATGATACTGAAATGAATGAGTTTTTGGAGCTCATCTGGTTTTTGATGAAGTCCTACAGTAAAGGTTCAGCATACAATGTTGGTGCGATTAGAAAACACATCAGGCATTTCCAGAATTATCAGTTTCTTGTGAGTCATAGTGTGTGTAACTTGCAAATCAGCATTTACTGTAACCCCGGAGTACGTGCCTGTCATTGCAAAAGTGTAAAGATTAAAAACAGTTTTCCACAGCAGGTGATTTGTTGAAATGTCATTTGGTGACATATCTTGGCATTTGTTGTTTGCTTTGTAGGTATACATATATTCAAGCATTTTCTCCTGAGATATTGAACTATTCCTATTAAAATTGCACTGAATATCATATTCATCTATTTGAAGCACATTTTTGACTTTTTCAAATTGTAATATCACAAGACATACTTTCAAGGAAGTGCATAACTATATCATTAGAGAACAGGGTTTTGGCAATCTTAATTAGTGTTTCATTACTAAAAACAACTCTGTAGGCATCTAATATTGCTGAGTTTGTTAGTCTCTTTCTTATTATATGTGGCTTTTTATATTTAGGAATACACAAAGAAATTTAAAAAGATGATCCAAATGCAGCAAAGTCATGATCTGCCAGAACAAAAACATTTTTTTGTTGAGATTTCACTGCTAACCGAATAACTAAAAATACTCAATTTATTCTTGAAATAAGCATTTTTTCCTCCAAATGCCTCTTTAAATTGCTAGTCTTTGTTGTACAGTTATTAATGTTCCTCCATAAATTGTGTGTATTGGATTTGAAAGAGATGATTCCAACTCTCTTTATTCTTTGTATTATTCCTATGGGAATAACTGTGAAGGCAGTCTAACAATTTCCTAAGAAAAATATTTCAAGTTCATTCATTTACATTCAATTAAAGTCAATAGTTTTCCTGCTTATTATTTACTTCCGGTTTCCCATTTCATAAGTCCAGGCTGAGTTGCCCATGATGAAGCAATGGAATTTCAACCAGAGCAGTGTTGTCCAAACTTGGCCACTTTAAGATGAGTGGACCAACTCCCAGAATTTCTGAGAGTTGAAGTCCACTCATCTTAAAGTGGCCAAGTTTGGACAACACTGAACCAGAGGAAAAAAGGATGGTGCTTCCAGCCAGTCACAAAATTGCTTTATATTAATAATTTGGCCTTTGTTTCAGTTAAATTCTCTAATTCTGAACTTTATCAGCTAAAATATATCTTTGGGGATCTAAATACAACATTCTTCAGTTGCTGTGATGATCAGAGCTATACTGTGACTTAAAATTGGCAATGCAGCTAATGCTCCCTGGCAGAATAATAATTGGATCGCTTCTTCTCCTGTGTTTTCTGTATGGCTCTGCATTATTTTCTGGGGAGTTACTCACGGTTCTGTAATGGTTTGTGCTCAGCAGGCTTTTATTGAGTTAGGGGGACAGGGCCAGCATCAACAAATCATGCAAAAATTTATGATGTTGATGATTAGATAGGACAGAGCACAGAAAGAAGAGAGTCACGATGTAACTTTGGAGAGAGAGGTCAATTTATAATTGTACTTATAACTGCTGTAAAGAAGATTGGAAGCCACTTCTTTGTATCTTTTTTCTTTTCCTTTTCTATTTTTCTGCTACTTTTTCTTTTTGCACCTTTAGTTTTTTCTTTTCTTTTTCCTTTTTTTGGTCCATTTTAGTTTGCATTAGTCTTATTTTTGTCTTTAAAATTTTCTATATATCAATCCCCTGCTGGATTTGGTCAACAACCCTCTACAGTAGTTTTCCATTTTATGTGGCCCAGAGGCCTACCAAATCACTTGCACCCTAGTAGTTGGCATTAAAATATCTTGCCTAAAATTCAGGAGGTAGTACAAGATTACAGCAGCAACCACAGGCAGCCCAATCCTCCATTAACGTGTGCAATTTCCTTTTGAAACCATCCAAATTGGTCGATACCACATCTGACGGCAGCAATTTATAGCTTAATTACATTTTTCAAACCATGCATGATTTTATACACCTCAGTCCCATCTCCCCACACTCACTTTCCTATCAGGCTAATAAAGCTTCCCCAGTTGTTTAATCCGAGAATGGGAAAGCCTTCAAACTTATTGCAGATGTGGGGATCGTGCGTGGAACCATAATGCCCGGTCGGCAGAGTACAATGCTCGTGTACGTTTTACATTATGTAGCTAGCTATCAGTGGAAAATGTCTTTAATTTTATGTGCGCGCGCACCCATACGCTCTCACGCACACCAGCGTCGGCCCCTTGGAATCCGGGAGTCGGGGCATCCCTAACCACGCCGGGCCAGCCCGAAAGAGTGGGCCAGCCTTGGAATGCTGGCCGGCTGCAAAACTCAACTGATGGCGTCGTGGAACCGCGTTCTGACGACAATCTAGAGCAGACTCCAGGCGCCTCCGTTCTTCCGCAGCTTCCGCATTCTTTTCGTCGCCGCTGGAAATCCTGGTCCGACGGCTGCTTTCCTGGAACCAAATTCCTGCAGACGACGGCGTTCTTCTTGCTCGGATGCCGGTGGCTTCCCCCCGCCTTGCGGAGCCCCCGTTTCCTTCCGCACGGAGGAGGCGCCTGGTGACACCCCAGGGCCACACGGGTGCGCGGCGCCGGGGGCGGATCCCCCTCTGTTTGGGAAGGGAAGGGAAACCTTGGCGCGCTCCGCCTCCAGCTCCACCCGCGCGAGGCCGAGTGACTTTTCAGCCCGGCACGGAGCCCTGGGTGCGTTTCTCGTCGTAGGTTCCCGGTGGCCGCTGACGCGCTAAGCGTGATGCCGAGGCGGCTCTCTGGAGCCGGGCCGCGGCACCTAATGCCGCCCGCTTGCATCGCCCGTGTGGCCGCCTTCCTGCTGCTGGTGCCGGTGCCCGGGGCGCGGAGCCTCGGCCTCTACTCGCCCGATGACCCGCTGGTGCTGCTGGCGGCGGATACGTTGGAACGCCACATCTTCAATTCCACCAGCGCGTGGGTGGTCGAGTTTTACGCCTCCTGGTGCGGCCACTGCAAAGCCTTTGCGCCCACTTGGAAGGCGCTGGCCAACGACGTGAAGGGTAAGTGCGGCAGCCGCGCGACGGCCGAAAGCCAACAAGCTGGTCGCAGGGGGACCTTCCCGCTACTCTTCGTCCCCGCCCCAGAGCAGGTGTGTGCTTGGGAGGGGGCGGCAGGTCGCGGCAACCCAGAGGTGCCCTCGCGGTCGGTCCCGGCTTCGCGGGTTGCCCAGAGCTGGCGTAGAGTTTCCTCGAAATTAAGACCTGGTGGACGAAACCAGCCGCTGCCTCCACCCTCACGGAGTCGAGTAGGGCTGAGTTGCTGCCTCTTCGGGGACAGGCTTTCTCCTACGCGCTCGTCTCTTCCCCTTCCTTGCGAACTCAGCGTGGGCTTTCGAACCACGCTTTCCCGTGCCTGTTCGTGTAACACGGCCTCCCCCAGCCGCGGGCGTCCTGATGCACTGTAGTGGAACGTCCGTAATTCCCAGACGTAGCTCACCGGATTATCTTTTATTTTTTTATTTATTAATTCAATTTGTACGGCCGCCCATCTCAAACAAGTGACTCTGGGTGGCGAGTTTCCGTTTATATCCAAGTAAAAAAAAAGTTGGATATAAATGTGAAAATGTATGCATATATGTGTGTATCATAACATGGCTCAACAGTGCCACAGAGCATCTGGTTATAGGTTATAGGACCTAGAGTCAACAAATCTGGAGTGGAAAATTCAGAATTTCCGTATTAGTGTGTGCTTTTTACTGTGTTTCCTCTGAACTACGCCTGATAGTGTCCACTAGGTTCTCTTACAAGTAATTTATTTTTCTTCCTAAAGGAAAGATGGGAAGGAAATATTGACTTTAAATGGATCTCTTCGGAAATATAAAAACAGCTTTTCTCATTTATCTAGGCATTCTGTGTCCATTAAAAAACAGAATCACTGCGGGCTTTGCATTTGGGGTATGGGGAGGGCATTAAATTCCTAGCTTTTTCCAGTCGCAGATAAAAATACCTGAAATTGTAAAGAAAAATTAAAAAGGGTGCCAGTTCTTTCTCTCTGATTGTTCCTCCATCTGCAAAGCACCTGGAACTTTATTCTACAGGTCCCCTCCACCTGTAAGTTGTGTTTCCTTGACTCTGTTCTGTCCTGCTCTCTGTTCTCACTCTGCCCATTACTTTCCTCACTGTATTCCATGTAGGCCTGTGGTATATGGTATATTTAGTTTTATAATATAATGGTATATTTAGTTTTATCTTGGTGTAATAGTAAACCCAACTAGTTCTGGGTAAGCAAATACAGTTTAAGGCCTTTCCCACTTGCACCTAATCACAGTGCAACCGTTTTCTGGCAAGGTAATTTTTCTGCTGTGCACAGTAGTTCAAATATGTGGCGGGTGCCTGGTTAGAAGAAGGGCGCCTCTAGGTATAGGTAAACGTGCGGCCTAGGAAACCTTCTGCACCCTGACGTTATCTAGCTAAGGGTAAATGACAAAGAACATATGTAGACTTTTTCTCAGGAACTGCATGGATTCTGGGAGTATGCCCTGAACCATCTGTGCATTATTTAATATCACAGTCATCTCTGTTTTGCTTAAAAAAGAACAAGAGCCACAATCTAAATCTCTTTTGCTTGGCAGCTACAGACATCTTAGTACTTTAAAGCTAATCTTCATGGCTCTTTCTCACTCTGTTAATGGGTACACTTGTGTAATCCTGTCATAACTTCTCTTTTATAGATTCGGTATGAAAATTTACCACCAACTGTCATTTTTATTACTTTTTCAGTTACCACCAATCATCATTGTCATTATTGTTACTATTTTTACATCTCTTTAACAAATCTTCTCCCTCATTTTCCTGAAGCTTCTTCTGTGGTTGCTTTTTATGCTTTAGCAGTGAATTTCCATCTTAGTGCCCATCTTGCCTTTGGCTTTTGGTTTGCAGTGAGCCTCTTGTTCCTTTGTATCCAGGTGTTTCTTAATTCTTTTCCTTTTGTTCTAATTCAAAGGGAGAAGTAGAGTTTTGTTTTGTTTTTTAAAAAGGATCCCTTGATGGATCAGGATACCTTTAAACAGACTGGCTGCTATAAGTGTCTGTGTTTCACTGAGTTCAGTGATACTAAGCACTTGTCATGGATGCCCTTCCTCTGCCTCTGGACAGGAGAAAATGAGCAGAGAAGGAAGAGACAGTAAGTTTAACATTTATTTTTGCTATGTTAGCATAACAAAGATGGGAGATACAAGAGACCATGCTGGGGGAGCTGAACTGATAACCTTATCTTTGCTAATCAGAGCTAGCAGAGAGAACTCAGGATACAAGCAAAAGGGGAAAAGACTTGCAGGCAAAAAAAATGTGGAGGATATTGAAAGTGGGAAAGAGTCTTGCAGGCCTGGCTATTTCTCTCCTTTTCTTTGATGGGGCACCTAAAGAGACAGTGTAGTATAGGTGTTCGGTGACAGATTATAACTAAGAAGACCCAGATTCAAGTTCCCCAGCCTTGAAACTCATGGAATGACCTTTGGACAGTCATTCTCTTTCACCTGAACCTACCTAACAGAAGTCATTCCCCACTGTGAGGTGTAGCAGAGGTTCTCAACCGGGGCCATATGGCCCCCAGGGGCCATGCCATGTCTCTAGGGAGCCATAATCTTTTTATCAGGCAGCTTAAATCAGGGGTCCCCAAACTTTCAGCTCATTGACCCCTTCATGAAGTTTCTGGTTGTTCATTAACCCCCAAACATTTTTTATATGAAAATAATTTAATAAATACTACTTTAACTAATGCTGTAGTGCTACGACTCATCATCATCATCATCATCATCATCATCATCCAGGTCCTTGGGAAGGACTCGACAGATGGATAAAAATGCCAAATCCAGTCTAAACATCTGGCTGACTGCGCAACCAACCATAGTAATAATATCAACAATCAGAGCAATGATGGATAGTCCCATCGATTCTTGGTCAATATTGACCACTTTGGGGAACCCTGGTATAGATTAATAAACAGTATAGATGGAGAGGGTCTGCAGAGGGGAGTCACAGAGGTCAATGACAGAAGGGAACCAGGAGCAAAAAAAGGTTGAGAACCCCTGATCTACAGTATAGCAACTTCCAGAGTCAATTAACCATTTTTGTGCCAACATGACACAGCAAAAGGACAGGCTTTATATCACTTCAGTAATGGGTAGGTGATGCTGTGAAGATGCTGGTTTTCTAAGTATCTTTGTAATAAATCTAAATTTATGCTGTGTGCAGTATAGTCTTGCACAAGACCCCCATGGTTTTATTTTATCTTATTTATCTCATTTACCAGAAAACAAGTGTAGAATACTAAAGGATTTGAGGGGACCAAATATAATCTGGTATATTTTTTCCTTTTTTTCCCCTCTGAAGTCCCCCCCCCCTCTCCATTTCTATTATGCTAATTCCAGGTTGGTGCAGTGGAGAGTTTGATTCTCTCCAAGGTTATCTCTCACCTGCCTTGTCCTTGGAACAGACTGGCAGCGTTTGTACCACATGCCTACCAGGTTGATTCAAGACATAGCAGCTGTAGCCATGCCCATATTAACATTGGGTAGTTTTACCTTTGCTTAGTTTGTGGTGGCTTAGTCCATTGTACAAACTCTTTCCCATTGATACTGTTTGTAATTAAAAAGGAAATCCAGGTATACATCTTTGCTCTTTAGGGACTTTGGTTTGACCTTCTGACATTTGCACTGGCTATTTGCAACTGCAGAAAAAGAAATTAAAAATGAGACAGATCAGCCAACTTCCCCTTGGTGCACTTTGAATCTTTAGACTAAAAGTTCCAGATTTCCAAGCCAGTGTGGCCAGCGCATTTTGACATGATCAGGTTGTAGAAGGCTGTCCGAGATGGTTCTTGGGATGAAAGATTCCTGTTTTCATTGAGCAATAGATATGGGTTTGAATGTTTTAGATGGAACTTTTTGATATATTGATCAAAAGCCAAGGGTTCATTGACACCAGGTTCTGCTAAGTCAAATAATTTTCAGTGGCTCTCCAAGCTCATCCTGTTCAGCAGCTCAAACACCTTTTTCTGTAGGTCCCTAAGTGAAAACCTTCACTGTGAGATTAGAGGTGGAGGATGGTCTTTTCACGCTCCAGAGATAGGAACTGGTATACCCAGAGATGTTGGCTTTGGTAGTGCTTCAGTGACTACAGAAAAGAAATGTTTTTTTCCTATGAAGAGCCCTTGATCTATAAGAAAAGTTAATTGGAGCTGCAGCTGATGGTGGGAGCCACACTGATCCTTTAGCACTGCAGAGTAGTATAGCTTGCATACTTTTTTCACCATCCCATCCCTTTTCTTCTCTTTCTCTGTACCTTCCTTTCTCTCGTCCCTTCCTGTCCATGGGCCACCCCGTTCATTAGCTTCTTGCTCTTTTCCCCATTCCTTGTTCTTTGTGCGTGCGATTGCCACCTCCCCCTTAAACGCTGTAAATTATTGGTCCTAATTAAATTCTTAATTTAACTGGAGTGGCATAACACTTCATTCCCACCCTCTGATGAACAACCTGAGCAGCTGCAGCTGAATCCTGCCATCTTTAGCTTTCTCAAACAATTGTCTCTTCAGCTTCCCCATCATTCAGGCAGTGTCAACCTGGCTATAACCTCCTCAGAGACACACACTCGGGGGAATGAAATGCGTCTTCTTCGTCACTCATGCCAAAGGATTGATGGCAAGAAACGTATTTACCTGAAAAGAAGACAACCCTAAGAGGATTCCCCCAAAAGGAAGAGTAGGTGCAAAGGAAAAATAAAAACACAGGGAAAAGCTTCCTCTGCAATATCACTGTAGGATTACCAATTCCAGGTGAAACAGATCTCTCCCTAGTGGAGGTACATGAAGCAGTCAAATATGTATGCATGTGTTTGTTATACCTGCCAGGAGCCAGATTCAAGAAAAGAAACTGGGGGCCAAAACAATTATTGCTGCAATTATCAAAGTACAACACCTGATTAAAAACATTGTTGATAAATAAATTTGTTTATAAAGTTGATTCCCAATTTGTATATATAAGTTATTATCTCACACACAAACC